CGGGCCGGGGGGAGGGGGGCCGCGGGGCGGGACGGCGCCCTCCTCGGGGAAGGGGCCCAGCCTCGGAGCGCTGCCCCGGAGAAGCAGGCAGGCACCTGGGAACGCCCCTGTGTCGTTGACCCGAGGGAAAAGCAACCTGCGGGAATTAGTGTGCGCAGCTAAGGAGAAGTGTACTGGTTTGGCCAAAATGTAACTGCGTTTTTTCCAGGTAAATGAAAGGCAAATTTTTCATGAGACACAAAAACTGTATTAAACAATACATTACCCATTTCGTTCAATTACCTTTTGCCATCTTTCAGGCAACAAATGGTAGTCTGATGGTGCCAGGTCTGGCGAATATGGTGGATGTGGTAACACATACCATCCAAGCTGCAACAATTTTTGACGAGTTAGCAAACTCATATGTGGTCTGGCGTTGTTATGGAGAAACACACCACCTTTGCAATTCACCAATTCTGGATGCTTCTGTTTGATGGCATCATTTAGTTTATCCAGTGATAACAGTATACATCCAAATTAATGGTCTGGTTCCCTGGAAGCAATTTAAAATACACAGTACCTTTGAAAACCCACCAGACTGACGGCATCACCTACTTCTGGTGAGGATCTGCTTTTGAAGTGCTTTGAGCTGGTTCATCATGCTTGCTCCATGATCTTTCTTCATCATTTTTGTAGATGATCCATTTTTCATCACTTGTTTCAAAAATTGATCTTTTTCACATTTCACTGATGTCAACATGCTTAGTGAGATGAATTTCTTTGAGCTCATATGTTACACAAATATTGAGCTTCCTAATGTATCAAAATTGTTTTAAATTGTTTTCAAGGCTCGATTTTGATGTTAAGCTTATCAGCAATCTCTCGTATCATTAACCACTGACTGGATTTGATCAATGCATTTATTATGTCATCATCAACTTTGATTGGCCTTCCTGAGCACGGTGCATCTTTAACATCAAAATCTCCAGACTGAAATTCAGCAAAAAATTCTGACACTGCCATAGTTTTAAGGCATCTTCACCATACACATCACTTTTTATGAGCTCGCACAGCACTCTTTTCCTTTTCAGAAGTAATACAGCAAAAGATGACAAAGATGTTCCTTTTGATTTCCCATTTTGAAACTGAGGCCAAATAAATGTTAATGAAATTGTGCACTTTTTTCCTATAACAAACATGAACTGTCAGCTGTCAAGTTACGTACTAAGTTTGTAGTTTAAAATGAAGTTAGTTACATCTCAAGACATGTACGTCCATCTATTAAAAAAACTTCCCTCCCCCGCCCTACAGAAAGCTCTGCGCCGTCTTCCCGGAAAACAGGAGCACGGTCTCCTCAGGTGCTCGGGTCTCCATTATACGCACCTATGTGTGCAAGATGAAAAGACAAGCTGGCGGGGGAGAAGACAGCAAAAAAAGCTTAAAAAGTGTCACGTGAGCCTCACATCCGCGACGCCGTGGGCAGCCGCCCGCCTCCGCCCCAGTCCTGTAACAGTCGGCGGTTCCCGCCCCGTCAGGGCGGGCTGTAGCTGTAGCTGTAGTTGTAGCTGTGGCGGCTGCGGCGCTCGGCATGGCGGTCACTGTAGGGATGGTGCCGGAAGCCATTCCTAGCGGTGGGCGCAAGAGGGAGCCCGCTCAAACTACCGCTCCCAGGGCCCGCTGCTGCTTTCTTCCCCCTCCGCCCCCTATGTTTCCGCTGGGACGATGGCGAGCGGTGCCAGTTGGCTGTAATGGGGAACTCCTGAACTGAAGCCTCGGTCGCAGGGCCTCGCTGAGGGTGGGAGGTTGCTCTGACTCTTCCCCGAGGGTTCCCCCGGGACGAACCGTGGCGGACGGCAGAAACCTTCCGTTTAGCTTCGCCGTAACTCTTTGAGGGCGCTCGGGAGCCGTGCCCTGGGATGCTGCCCGCCTGCCTTGCTCGGGCGGAGCAGCGCGGCGAGCGGCTGCGGGCCTCCCTGGGAAGGGGGTTGCTCTCTCATCCCGGCTGGGCGCTGCCGGGGCCGGGGCTCTGCCTGAGGTGGCGGCACCAGCCCCCCCGCAGGGAGCCCCCCTCGCTGCTCCGGGCCGCCCGGCAGAGTATCGGGACGCAAGCGGGTGGGCTGGGGGCTGAGAAAAGTGACGGTAATAGCAAACATGTGGCCGTGCAAAGCGATCGGAAAGAGGAAACTTTGCTGTCGGCTGCTCAGAAAGGTAAGAGGAGTGGTAATCACGCGTGAGTGGAAGCGCAGCGCTGCTCAGAGAGGCTGATACGGAGAAAATTGCTGCTGTGGTTGAGATTTTGGTGTCCCCAAACTCAGGAAAACCCCCACAGTTCTCAGAAAACCCACAGGCCCGTTTCTTTCACATTGTATTGCTTGCAGCAGTTGCCACACTTCAGCGTACGTATTGCACAAACAGAACAGGAATTGCGTGACTTCTTCCAAACAGCTTGTTGATTTAGTGTTTAAGTCACATCAGGTAAAGTTGTAGTAGCCTCTCATTTCCCTTTTCAAAAGGAGAGCCCATCACACACAGCCTGTCTCGATGCTGTTAAAACAAGTTTACCTCCAGCAAACCTGTCAAAGTTCCACATGTGATGCTAGTTACCTTATAGGATGGCTGCTGCTTTGGCCTCATTCACTTAAATGAAAAGTAGTTACTACTTCAGCTGAGTAGAAGACTGCAAGAAAAATGGGTTACTACAGTTTCCCTGGTAACTTGTGCTTCACTGGAAGGCACATCTTACCGCTTAAGCAAATCAGTAGTCTTTCCAAGGTCTCAAAAATTATTATGTGACAGAGAATCTCATATGACTATTTTTGGAGTGTATACTGACACACTTTTACCAGTACATTAGATCAAAACTAATACCTAAAAACTAATCTGGTAAACTGCAGTTAATGATCTCAATAAATAAAATAAATATTTTGGCCTAATATCCCTCCTTTTATTGTTCGCTTGATTGAGAATTCATAAAATCAATTATTTTCAGTCTGTGTAATTGGTAATCTTAGTTTTTTTATTTTTACTTCTCCCTTTCTTTGCATAAGGATTGCAATGATTGTGGGTTTATAGGGTAGGTTGAATACTGCAGTGCTAAATACCTCATTAGTTCTTAAAGAAACTAGCTCTCGCGCTACATAAAAATTAATAATAAGTGCTATTCTGGGTCTTGAAAACACCTAGTAGGAAAATAGAAAGTAATAAGGCTTAATACAAAAATATGCCCTGTACAACATAAGAGATGACCCATGGTCTCCTCCTTTTAGTGACGAAGCATTCTGGAAGCTGTTATTGGAATGTTTTTTCCTACCAAAATGTTACTTGAGCTGCAGACTAATACACGATCATGTATATAAGAAAGCTATGCAAGTCTTACTGTCCAAGATTTTAACTCCTGTGTGTTTTCTGTCTATTTCAGTGAAAGAAGCTGGAAGAGACATTACCTATTTTATTGTCGTGCTTGTTGGAATTGGTGTTACAGGTTGTATTTTAAAATTATATTCTTTGTCAGAAGATGCTTTTCATTAATTCCATCTGGTTTGATTTGCTTTCATTACATTTCCTGTTTCTGTTACAGGTGGTTTGTTCTATGTGATTTTTAAAGAGCTGTTCTCTTCTTCTAGTCCAAGTAAGATCTATGGAGATGCCTTGGAGAAATGCAGATCTCACCCTGAGGTTGGTTTTTGAACCTTTGTCATAAGTTTATGTTTCTCAATAGTTACTCTCTCTTTGAGTCAAAAGTTTGCACAAGGAATCTCACAAGCGAAGCTACAGGAAGACCCACATAGTGCTTAGGAGGCAAACACAAACAGATTGGGCTGTTTTTAGCTGGCCAGAGGTGGGTCAGCTCCAAGGTGGAGCTGGTTTAAGGACAAGTTAATGTAAACACTGGACTTGAGTGAATTAGCCTGCTAAAAGCCAACTTAAGTGGCACGGCACAGCACTCGATGCAACTGCAGTGTCTGTCCCTTCAGAGTATGTGCTATTGTCCCCATACAGAAACATACTAAATGTTGTAGTTAAGGAGTTGTGCAGGTCAGAGAAGCAACTCATCCCACTTAAGTTTTGTAGGTCTACCCTGCTGCCTTTCCTCAGCACTGGTTACTCTGTGGAGGCTCTGTTCTGTGGTTCTGTTATTCTGCAAAGTACTGCGTAGTGTCCAGGAATTTACATCTGAAACAGGGTTAGCATTCCTGTGGCTAACAGGAAAAGAGGACAGTCATGTGATTACACAGTCATATAAGATAACTAGATGTAAACAAAAATCATTCTAAAATTAGATTCTGAAAAACACTACTTCAGGCAAAACAAGAAATGCATGGAGTAGCTTTCAAGCAAGGTTGCCACGGATGCCACTGAGAATTACCTAGAAATGCAGTGAAAGGTTGTAATTAGAATAAAAATAAACACTACTTTGAAACAAGTTTGTAGAATTAGTACTTGTGCAGTAAAAATTACCCTTCCTTTCTAAACAACTTTAATGTAAGTTTAAAACTAGGTTAATTTGGTCTGGGTTTATAGAGCTGGAAAAAAAATAATCTCTTATGCAGTGGTGTTTTTTAGGTGATGTGAAGGGAAATTCATTTGCATTTTAAACTTTGAAACATTCTCTTGGAGGAGACGTGAGCAAATATGCTTTTTTTTTCCTTTTTACACAAAATATCAGTAAAGTATAAAACAGTAAGAAGAGAGATTAAGATGTCATAATCTCAGAGGACAGTACAAATGGAAGATATTAGTAGGATTTATTTTAGACATTCAATATGTGACTGTAATGAAAAGCACTGAAGTACAGAGGAATTTTCCTTACTCTTTTCTTTCATAAGCTCTTCTATTCTTGACACATCAGATTCACAAGGGGCATTTTATTGAAAGAAAATGCATTCACAGCAGGAGCATGAGCTGGTACGGGAATATTCGTTTGACTGTGATACTTTCTGACAACTGAAACCTCTTTTCTCTTGTAGATAATTGGTGTTTTTGGTGAATCTATTAAAGGTTATGGGGAGGCAACGAGAAGAGGAAGACGGCAGTTTGTCAGGTGCCTTTTGGTGTTTGCCCCATACAGACACTAATTTTGCAGAGCAAAAGCATTTTGGGTCACATGATAGCAAGTTAGATCTTGATTAATGAAGTGTGTGTGACTTAGCCTGTCACTTCTGAGTGAAAATGAAATCAGTTTTTTGTAGTACCTCTTGTGTGGCACATACCACTAAATACAGTGCACGTGCAATATAAAACTCCAATTCTGAGTGCCTCAAAACAAGCAATGGTCAGCACAGTAAACATGGAGCTAGTCTCTCCGAAAAACAGGGCGAATCTGAAGGCAGTATTACTGAGGCTTAGGCATGCATCTGGGATGCATAGGTCTGACTGGAGCAGAGATCTGACTGAAGTTTACAGTCTGAAACATTCAGATACAGCGAAATTGTTCTTTGAAAATTTGGGTTTTGAGAGTTTTTCTCCTTTCAAAGCAGTCGTCCTTATCAGGCCAGAAAGAGCCAGGAGGTACAAACTTTCAGACCTTCAAGAATCCAGCTTGCTCCATTTAAAAGCTAGGCTCAGTCTGACTGTGGAGGTTGCAGTCACTGCAGTGACTATGCTATCCTGAGCTGATATGCAGTATTGACTGCCCATTTCTTACATTGCTTTTTGGTACTTGAGGCCACATCTCTACTGTGTATTTAACAGAACATCTCGCACCTAAACGTTTCATGAATGTGTCTATTTATTATTCTTTTGGGGGAAACAACGGAACTAATTCTTACAAAATGTAAATCCTCCCTGCACTATAATTCAATAGGGGCTTTGCTTTTATTGCGTTCTTTGACTTGAATTTATTCAAGGAGGTTTAATACCAGGTGGCACACATAAGCCCAGATACACAAGTTGACCCATGAAATTGAGAATTCTTTTTTTCCAGAGGAAGGTCATTTTTACTGGTGAATGTTTATCTTTTCACCTTTTTTTTGTGAAAAAGCGTTTTAAGTGGAGCTGCTAAGTGAGAAGGATATGCACAAGTGTTTTAAGCATGTCTCTAAAACAAAGTATGTAAATAAGTAAATGTACTATTAGTTTTCCTAGTATTTCATTTCCATCATGTTGAAAGTCTACTATTTTAAATAAATTTTTGAGCTGAGCACTTCATAGCATTTGTGTGTGTAGTATAAGGATGACCTTAAATGTTTCAAAAATGTACAGGCTTTTTTGTGTATGAACATTTTGAATGTGAATTTACTGCAGTAAGGCTCTTCATTCATCTTTGTAACCCATCTTGTCACCCTAAACTGTATTGGAAGTGTAATTCACAGGGTGTATCTGGGCATGACTGATAGAAGTAAGAGCTTGGTAGTGTGCAGCAGTTAAATGGTTGCCTTGAAAGTGACATTACTTTTGTTTTTATCTAATATTTGAGCATAAACTAACTCTAGTCTAAATATGAGCATTTAGATTGAAGATCTGATATCAGTGCCAAAGATAAACAACTTCAGTAGAAAAAAATTACTGCCAAAAACAGTTTACTCTGTGCTTTACTTATTGTTTTGATGTGATTTAATGAAACTGATAAATAAGTTGACAAAACATTCTTTGTGTGTTTTGGCTCTCTAACTTATATTTAAGTGCCAAAAAAACAACGCTGGCAGTCTTGGTGATGTGGGTGTTCCTTTCTAGATGTCAAGTTCTGAATCTAAGGGTTCTCCCGAATAAATACAAGGAAATTTCAGAATCTTCAGCCATTGGATTGCTGTTGAGTTTTGAGGGAAGGACTGGGTTGAGGACATTTAAGCACTTCATCTGTTAATCCTTAACTGCTAATTAGTTCTTCTAACTCTGCTACTCCTTATATGCTTACAGGAAAGCTTAGGAAGAGCAGTAGAGAAGGAACACATGGTAGCATAGGGACTGCACTTTCTCACAAAATAGTTATGCAGCTCCTCTAAATAAGTTCAAATCTGAAGTTTAACTAGTGTAAAATGTGTATCCTTCTTGGGTGAGTTGGGTTTTTTGTTCTGATGTTTTTAGTCACATTGAATACATAAAGGACGGACTGAAACATATGCGCTTGAAGTTCTATATCGAGGGCTCTGAATCAGGGAAGCGGGGAACAGTCCATGTGGAAGTCAAAGAGGTACGTACAATTACTTGATATAGCTGCTAAGCTTAATCTTGAATTTAACGTATCAAAGAGAAAAAAGAAAAAAACCCAGCACACCCTGAAATTGTTTTCCTTACAGAACCCCGAGAAAGGAAGATTTGAGGTGTGCTACATATTTGTGGACGTTGACACCTATCCTAGAAGAACCATTGTCATAGAAGACAACAGACAGCCAATGGTCGAAGTTGCTGCCTCATCTCATTGAGTATCGGGTGGTACTGGTGTAGCCAGTCTACGCACTAATTGTTTGGTGTTCTCAATGATATCTTGCAGCTTTGAAGTTGTGTTACAGGACATAGCCTCTCAGGGTCTCCATTAAGGTCTTTCATAATAACAGATAGAGGATTTGAAGTGAAGCCAATGAAATACAGTAGAGCCATCACTTATGGCAAATACTTTTGACATGGGAAAATAATGGCTCGTAATAAAAAGTAATGCTGGATAATACTTCTATGCACTCAAAAACTGAGAATTGCAAGATTTTAGGTCTGGATGGGGAATTTTTTTTGTCTTCCTTTGGGTTTCCCACTAGCACTGCAATAAAGAAAGTGGTATTACAAGTGTAAACAAACTCACTCTTTTCATTCTGTATGCCTTTGTGTAGAGAAGAAGGTAAAAGGACTTGGGGGTGTCAGTTGATTAAAAACTCAACATGAGCCTGCAGTGTGCACTTGCAGCACAGAAGACCAACCGCATCCTGGGCTGCATCAAAAGCAGTGTGACCAGCAGGGTGAGGGAGGTGATTCTGCCTCTCTACTCTGCTCTCATGAGACCCCACATGGAGTACTGCGTCCAGTTCTGGGGCCCCCAATATAAAAAGGACATCAAGCTGTTGAAGGAGGTCCAGAGGAGGGCCAGGAAGATGATCAGAGGGCTGGAGCACCTTCCCTATGAGGACCAACAGAGAGCTGGGGCCGTTCAGCCTGGAGAAAAGAAAACTCCGGGGGGACCTTATTGCAGCCTTCCAGTTCCTGAAGGGGTCCTATAGGAAAGCTGGAGAGGGACTTTTTAGAAGGGCAGGTAGTGATAGAACAAGGGGGAATGGTTTTAAACTGGAAGAGGGTAGATTTAGACTGGATATTAGGAGTAAATTCTTCACTGTGAGGGTGGTGAGACACTGGCACAGGTTGCCCAGGGAAGTTGTGGATGCTCCCTCCCTGGAAGTGTTCGAGGCCAGGTTGAACAGAGCTTTGGGCAACCTGGTCTGGTGGGAGGTGTCCCTGCCCATGGCAGGGGGATTGAACTGGATGATCTTTAAGATCCCTTCCAACTCGAACCATTCTATGATTCTATGAAAATAAGAATCTATGTTAGTGATGCAAAGGGGATCTAGCCCAAGGGCATGTAAGAATATGGATTGTGGAGACACATCTACAACAAATAACTGAAGATAAAGACTTCAGTATTGGTATCTTCTACATAGATTAACCACTTACAGAACAGCAGTACTATCTGCTACTTCTAACATTTGCCATGCTGCTTCGCCAACTAATGACAGTGTTGTCGCTACTCAGCACTGCCCACAGTTTTTCCATTAACTAATTAAATCTGGGAATCAGATTCATATAGGTTTACCCAAACTGAAAGCTCAACTCATGACCAAGTTTATCATGAGGGTTCCTTCTTTGGTGCAACATGGCAGATAGCAAACATAACCCTGTTTATTAATATTCAAACTCACCAGTGCCCGTCTATCAGGCAGCACCAAGCAAAAAATGTCAAGCTTTAGCTTCTTGTATTAAACACTTTCTTAAGCACCAACTCTATAGTTACTTGTCATACATTATGAGCTTTCTAGTTCCTTAGTGAATTATCCTGACATTAAGCATACGCGGATGTTCAGTTATCAGCCTGTCCTGGTTTGAGCTAAATAGAACTAATTTTCTGTTTAATTATTTTACTTTTCAGCTCAGTCTCTTCTAAGTGGCTGAACTTGCTGAAACTAGCAGCATGTTTTTCCAGACTGCATACTGCTAGAAACTGATAATCTCAAGGCCATTTGTCTCACCACGTGTGCCATGTCTGCACCTATGGAGAGGAAGCGGACCCAAAAACTGGCCAACTAGGTATTCCATCCCACATTCGTCATACGTGGTATAAAGCCAAGGGATCACAAGGGTCTCGACCCTTCCATCTTGGACCCTTCCATCTCAGACCCTTCCGTCTGTCTCAATCCTGCAATGGCCGAAGTCTGAGCAGAACCCTGCTAGTTCATCTGCCTCTGATCCTGATTTGTGTGTTCCTGCATCCTGCTCCCACCTGCTGCTGAGTTCGGTCTGGGACTTTTCCAGTGTCCTGCTCCGCAGAGCCTCTGGTGATGTGTATGTCATTGGGCTGGGGGTGGGGGGGAGTGGGAGAAGGATTTTATATTGGTTTTGTATATATATTTGTACATGTCTGTATATATTTCATTATTTTCCTATTTATATTATTATTCTGTAGTATTAATATTCTTGTTTAATTAAACCTGTTAGTCTTATTTTCCAACCTGTACAGTCTCTCTCCCTTATTCTCTTTTCCCTTCTGGGGAGGGGAGAGGGGTTAATAGCGTCTGTCCAGGATTTAGTGGCCAGCCCAGCCCTAAACCACGACAGAGCCTTTATTTCAAGTTCATTTAATGGTACATTTGGACTGTTATAATGTTCATAGAACATTCCTTTGTACAGTGCCAAAAATATCATATATAGACCTTTAGTAATACACTAATCCCGTTCATCTGTCTCCCAGCAATTTCATTTGTATAATCTTAACAAATAAACCTAACCCTTTGTTACACTTTGATAACTTTGCTTTATGTGAAGCACTGCAACCTTGACTTCAGTTAGATCCTTGTATTGTTTGAAACTGTCTGATAAAGAGGAATCACAAGTTCATCCCAGTTTGCGAGCAGAGCAGAGTAACCCCACGTTACAGCAGAGCAGCCACCAACGTCAACCGGTGTTAAGCTGCAAGGAGGCGTTTTGGAGTTTCCTTCTACACAGTATACAATGTAACTGACTGCTACTGTACAGGGCAAAGGGATTCTTGCAAAACTTCAAACATCAGCTGAAACTGACTGAAGTGGTTTCAGCAGAGTTATAAATTTTTCTGCATGTTTTTGTCCCTTGATGGATGCTTGACAAGACTAACAAGCCCACAATTTTAAACATAGTAAAAAGCCGTGGAAGTCTGTGTTGGTGACTCCCTGTTGTAAATGTAAGTATAAACCTTTGTGGTACTTCATATATCTCCATGAAGTAACTTTGATAAACTTTTATTTTTACCTATAGTTATTGTTGTTAAATCCATCTGGAAAGGTGTCTTTAAATAATGAATGCAGTTGACTCCCATTGTCTTCATGTTATTTTCTTGAAAGCAGTAGAGCCAAGAACACCTTTTGACTTACGCTTATGACTTCTCAATTCTTAGCATTACACTTGCCAAAACTTTGTTTCAGAAGAAACTTTCAAACCAAACTACTTGGTCTGTAATCCAGTGGGGAAAGAAAAAAGGGAGAGAAAAAACGGAGGCCCTCATTATTGCATTGCCACCTGCTGCAGTGCTGACTGATAGCATTACACACCACGTTACCTGCCACCGCTTACCTCCACTTGCTATAAGCATATGTCACATCACAGTGGTTACTGAAACCACTTCTGCAAGTTTTGTTGCAAATGCAAGTTTGTCAGAGCACATCAGAAATACTACAAGCTATAAAAGCTTATAATCTAATACTAAGATTACTAGCCTTAAGCCCATACTATGCCTTGATAAAAAAATGTAATCATTATTCACCCTTTACAAAGCAAGACTGTATAAAAATACACAGTTTAAACTAGAAAACTGAATACTATTTCTGCCTTTCCTTTATGAGTTTCTACTATATCAAGCTGCCTGAAAGCTATTGTAAACCTCCATATCATAAACAAAACTGACAACCTAGGTTTTTTCCTGTAACTGCATCCCAGCTTTGCTCTCTTATTAATCCAGCTATGGCTTGTTTTCCGTGGGCTTCACTGCTGGAGAAAGGACTACTTCCTAAAGCAAGATGTAAAAACATTTATTTTTTTTTACAGTAAATGGTATAGGTACAGAAGAGGCCAGCCATTAGGTTTACTTTTGTCTTGTTTTAAAGCCTTGTTTGCACTGAAGAAAAAAACTGTCAGGACTAGAAACTTTCTCAGAAGATGATGACCTCACATAATGATGTTTTTCCAGCAGTGCAGGTACATGAAATGCGTTGTCAGGCTTGTGGTAAAACAGCAAGAATTGGCCATTGGGCTTAATGTATATGTTTGGCTTCAGTTTGAGAAGACAGACTAAGAATTTGATTATTTGCAACCAGATTTATGTACCGGTTTTTTTCAGTAGCAAGGACTTTGTAACATACATGTAACTGTAATGTGTTTCAAGGGTTTTGTGAAAGAACTGTTTGGAAATCAGATTCCTGGTTCTTTGATCGCTTTGAGACATCAGAATAGGAGTTTTTGAAGTTGTAAGGCTGTCAGTACTATACTTCTTGCACTAAGTGCCCTTGTCATACTTTGGCATTTGTGTCAGGCCTCAATATCATACTCCCTAGCTGGGAACAGATGCTACAATTACAGGTGTCAGAAGAAGTCTTAGCAGAGTCAACATAATGATTCTGTAACCAGTCCAGACCTGTATGAGAAAAATTGAGACAGACCAAAACTGGCAATCAGGAAGAGAGACAAGTATAATTTAAAAGACATAGATGGATGTGGAGTTGTCCACAGGGCAACTAACCTTCACAGTCTGTGTCTAAAAACAAATTATGAACCTTTGGTTTATGTACTGCATTTCAAGAAATGGGAGAACCCAGAGAAATCAGTCAGGGAATTACTTTCAAGCTTATATTTGGTTAGGGTAGTCCAAATATGACAGGGTTATAAATAAAATGTTTCTCATCCTGTACTTACATGGAGTGCACTGTTGTCACTTTCACAACTCATCTTTCTCCTGTGGAGTTGCATGAAAGCAGGTGGATGAACACACTTGCTCAGTGCAGCAGGACTCACAGATGTGGTAGCACCCTCCAGACACTTCGTTAACATCTCACAGGCTGGAAAGAAGCTGCAGTGGAGGAGTATACTGTATATAAATCAACTTTGTGTATCATCCTGCTTTGTAAATAGCAGAGTACTAGAGAGGCAGGATAACATTTTTCCTTCTAAAAAGTGGAAAAATAGAATGCTGTTATAAATG